CTAAAAGCTCACTTCATGCAATTGAAGTGTGCGCTGAAGATGTTGCCTAGTAGGGGTAAATGAAAGCTTCGCGAATAAACTATTCAAGTCAGGGAACACAACCACATCAAAGTCATCCAGCTGAGCTACAAATCTTGTTCATCATATGGTTTTCTTTGTATACTGATTACTTTTAAATCTTGACTAATTTCCAGTGTACGTCCCATGTCAAATAGATGTCTGGTAATTGGACATTAGAAAAATTAGCTGCTTTTTATACTTGAACTTTTAGGTTTTGTAAATGTCATATTTTAGTATTCAGCCCCACCTTGTTGAACTCCTCACCGTTATATGTGCAAATAATCTGCGGTGTTCGATCTTGTATTCCGTCTCTCATCAATGCTTGTTTCCAAGAGAAATATAAACTCTGCCCCCTTCTCTCTTGTCCAGTTATACGATAAATAGTTAGTCTCTTTTCAGCACTGCACATTTCATCTACTTATGTTACAATTTACTGGAAGCATGTTTCTAATAAGTTCTAACTATAATTCGAAGACACTGTAGGAAAAGTTTGTTCAGACGCTATTTTATGACATATTATCTGATATTGTTTCGAAGATAGGCAGTTGAGCAGAATCCATAAAATGACATCACCATGTATTATATTATCAGTAGACACGTTCATTCTTTCTTTGCTCAACTCTATAATGTTTGGCGACTCCAATTTACGTTGGCCAGATTGTAACAGATAAGTACTGATCAAAACTCTGTTTTATAGGGTCAGAAGAATGCGTTCTACAGCAAAATTAGTGGATGAAATTGTCACTGCCGCAAAGATGGCGAAAAACAACAAGTAGGAAGAGGTGGAGGCTTAAATGCCAAACAGATCACAATGGGAAAAATGCTTATCTCCATTCATTTCGACTTAAAAGGCGATAATATTGCAGGAATAGTCAGCAGACGACTAAATGAATACCTCACTAAGCAGAAACTATCCTGTAGTTAAGTTGGTTCCCATATATTGGACAACATGCTCTTCGGAATATTCAAAAGTCGACAGGTACCATTCTCATGTTAATTCTAACTACGTATACGGATTTACACGTATATACCGGTCCATTTATATCAGGAGGACAGAAATTAGTGCATACCTTTGATTATTTGGACATATACCAAAAAGCGTCCGACTCAAGGGAACAAGGTTAAACAATAGTGTTTCATGAATATAGGTCATGTGGTAGGCATCATGAAACCCCTTAAAATTATCAACAGACAGAACAGTTTAGTTTTCCTGAAGTCTGTTGAATCAATCACTATCAAACGGCTGAAACCAGATTAATATATTCCGGAACAGGAATCTGTAAAACTTTCCTTAACCTGTTAAACCAATGTCTTTAGTTTCTTTTCATCTGATTATGTAGTCTTTAGCTTCAGACTCCCTCCTCTTTGATACTGGGTGGCTTGTCTCTTGTCCCTCTGATCTGAGTTGAACTCACCACATTATTATTTCATTTATTAATTACTCGCCATCTTATTCATCCCTTGTCTCTATTTCACAACTCCTTTACCATAGTATGCAAACATTTATTTTTGCTTAAGCTTGAATTGTCAGCGTAGAAGTTACATGAGTGTAATTTCTGAACACTGTTCATTAAGTTCGGAGACTCCTTTCCACTGATATCATTTAACATAAACTTAGTGAATTAGTGAATTTCATTCGGCTGTATGCAGATGAAAAGAATCCTGCAAAATAAATGATGAAGGCACCATCTTCTTCTACACACACTGTTATGCTTGCTTTATTCAAATTTGTAAAGAGGAACATTATTGTTGTATTACTATAGTTTCTTTTAGTTTCTAGAGGAACATAGGGCTTCAACCGCACGTCTTCAATGCGTTGGGTTCTATGCCAACGTTTTCACCTGGATCCACGTCTGGCCACATGCTTTCATCTACTCTTCACATCACGTCCTCCATGTCACCCTCACACTGACGACCAACTCACCGCTTCCCATTCAGGTTCCACTCGAGCGATGGCCTGGTATGTTATGTCACTTGATGGTTTTCTCAGAGTATGGCCAATCCACCTCAATTTCTTCCTGATTATTTGTTGCACAATTGGTTCCTGGCTGATTTTCTCCCAGGGATCCCTAGTGTTCATCTCTCCTGACTGGCCATCTAATCTTGAGTAGTATTGAGTAAAGACAGCTGTTGATGAAGATCTGTAGTTTGTTCGAAGTGCTCTTTGTGACGTGGTGACAAGTCTCTGATTCGTATAGCAGCACTGACTTCATATTGCAGTTGAAAATCTGGATCTTATTTCCATTTTCATGCTGAGTAGTGCTGTTGATCTCCACACAGACTTGAGAGTAATGGAAGGTTGACTTGCTTTCGCGATCCTCACACTTTGATATCCACATCAGTTCCGTCCGCCTGTAGTTGAAACGATGCTTCCCAGGTAGGTGGCTAGGTGAAGGAGGTTGCTTTTCTCAGATTTCCCCCATTCATGCTGATTGTTGTCTATTGTTGTGGCTGTTGCTGTTGCTTTTGGCCAGGAATCTTCATCACCTCTGTCTTCTCTATGTCTACCTCAAGTTCTATCTTTGATTCTTCTTCTATCGCCAACTTGTTGCTTTTCACTTGCATATCTTCCAGTTTGTATGAAATCAGACATTTTTCTCATTGGCGAAATCCAGATCCTCCATGATTTATTTTGTGTGGGTGAGGAATAAATGCGTGAAAATTTATGCAAACTCCTATGAGCTAAAGTATTTATGCACAGCATATTCTTTTACATAGTGGCTAACTTATAAAATGAAACAGGAATGCTGTAATCACCGTGGATAATCACAGATGTTATTTTAATAAGAAAGAAATTCCCATTTCACTCTATAAATAATAAGTAGTATTCTATGTAAATACTGCCTTTAATGCTAAATCACGTTTCTCTCAGAGATGTTTATTATCCCGTAATAGTGTTTCACACAAGTTGTAATAAACTATTATAAGAAGTATGAACAAATCTATGAAAATGTCGTGAATCCTAAACTTTATTCCATAATTATTCATTACTGACATGGATCTAGATTAGGAAAGGGTAAGTGAATTTATTTCATAGATCCATGGATAATTCCAATGAAGATAAGTAGGGAGAGGGAATATACGATTTAGCGAAGGGACTCTTCTCTTCTGTAATTTTTTCACTATAGAGCTACAATCTAAAGTAATATGCAACATCAGGTTGTGCTATACCTCCATTCTATTTAGACTGACATTTTTTGGAATTTGACTGGCATTGGAACCCAAGAAGTACATTTCGTCCTATTTGGGACGTCTCAGTTGTGTGAACCTTCAATCACCAGTAAGTAGTGTGGTTCCCCCTGAATCTTGAACCCAACATCCATCGTCCTGAACGGGATTCATAAGCATACTTCCATCTAATTCCGCTTTCTGCAATCCTCTTCATCTGGCTCCTCCTCACACGATTTCCTCCAGGGCACCCTCGGACGTCCAGTTCGTCGTTTCTCATTGAAATTTCAATTGAGGATCTGGCACGCGATACTTTCGAGGTCCTTCTCATCATGTGTCTGATCTCTCGACATTTCCTCCGGCATTTTTGTTGGGTAATAGGTTCATCATTGTTTAGTACCGAGAGTTCCGATTTGGTTATCCTTTTTGGCTATTTCATCTCCAGCAGTGCATGCAGAATACCGTCCGGAACAAGGTGGATTCAGTTGAAACAAATCATGTGCAGATTGAATAGCAACTCTTTGCATCATCATCGAACAGAGCATAAAGTGTCCATCAAACCTCTATCCCAAATTCATCGACTTCGAGAAGCTTTTGAACAGCGTTGACCACGACGTAATTTGGAATTCGAAGACGATTTATGTTTATTGTCAAATAAACTCAAAAAACTACAAGCGAAAACCAACAAACCGCCAAAAGAAGCAGTGGCGACATAACTTCAAGTGAACTTAGAGGAGACTGAAGTGATCAAAATAACCAACCAACAACAAGCACCAATCACCATCAACGGCAGATATCTGAAAGACGTCACTTTCTCCACTTATTTGGAAACCATCGATTCAACTACAGGTGGTGCGGATGACAATGTCAGAGACATACAGAACTGGAAAGGCGAAACACGCCTTCATCATTCTGAAATCAGTCTGGAAATATTCTGGGCTCTCCTTACACAACAAAACCCATACTTTCATTACCAATGTCAAGTTGGTCACTTCTTCTATATGGATCAGAAACTGTGCTAACGGGTCACGAATAGCATCTCCAACAGGCAACTTCATATTTTTACCAACGAGTGCCTTCACTGGTTCTACGCTGAAGATCAAATGGCTAGTCAGAATTGAATAGAAACAAGAAACTCTGAAAACGATCCAATCAGGAACTTATTGCTTAACAAATTAGACGATAAAAATGGTGGTGTATTGGACACATTCTGAAGTGATCGTTGGGTAACATCGTGTGTCAAGTTGTAAGGGAAACCTGAATGGGAAATGACTACTAGAGCATCCAAGGGTGAAATGAATGAGATCGTGTATGGATAGCTGAGATACCGCGGTCAATCAATAAAACCAAGTAAAATGGACTGCAGAGAATAAATCAAGGCAGAGATGTTCCATTAAAGTCCTATATTCCACCTGGAACCCATGAGAATAATACTAGTAATGGAGCAAGGGCTGCTGTTGGCAAACGTCTGCAATCTGTCATGAATTCTTTTAGTGACGTTTGCGTGCCATATCTCTGAATTATTTAAAAGCACAGACGACATTAGTACTGAAAATCTGAACCTTTTTCCTTATGCTGTGTGTTGTGATACCATATACAGGATGGCTTTCATATGCCCCTCTGTGCCGCCTGTAGTTTAAACAATTTTGTGCAGTTAAATGAATGGAGACAACTTCCTCATCGATTTCTTCCAATTACCTTATTTCATCCGCTGAAAATCTCGCCCCTGTCATTATGTATTATAATGCTTTCTCTTTCCGCTTATATTTTAGATTCTACTGGAATATTATCATGCTCATCTTGTTAATGGCTAATTTGATCATGTTGCCGGTGATTATCTCCTTTTTCAATGATGATCTACCTGGAAATTGGCTTATTTTCAACAGTATATCAGATACTTTATTTATATTGGATATAATTGTGAATTTTCGTACTGGTAAGTTGAACAACAACAACTGTCAGTTTCATATTTTCTGATGGCTGTTTGTCCTTTTGAATGTCCAGATTTTTATTCCCGTCTAGGATTTTTGGTCATTCAGCGATATCATTTAAAACCAAAGTGTGTTGGATAGTTGCTCTTTTCCAATTTGTGTATTTTTGGCAGTTTGAAGATAATGAGCTCACTGACAAGTAAACTGAAGTTAGATCTAATAAACATTTACATTTTTAAAAGAATAGACACGGAACAAAGAGTACTCATTTCGATAAATTCATCATCAGGTTCTACAATTATATATACATTATAATGAATGAATGAATTAGTCTTATGAACGACATTAATGTTTAAATAACATTGAATCAATAATATTGATAGATTACAGCTGAATAGCATCAACATAAAATAAACTGAATGTCAGGAGAATCAGGAAAGGTAATAGTACAAATTCATGAGTTTATAGTCTCTACTGAGGGTCAGAGCAGTAATAGGGGCTGGACTTGTTTCTTTTGAACACAATGCACTGCTTGTTTGGGGCGAATCGCAATAGCCTCTGCTGTTTGGAGCATGCGGTGCTTCGACGATTTCGGTAGTTTGTTAGGCTCCCGATATATTACAGAGAAGGATTCTTCTACGCTGGCTTTATGACCGGTTTGCAACAGATGGTCTAATATCGAGCTGTTAATAGTTTTCACTACACCTTTACTTAGCCATAGTGGGATATGTTCTCGAGCACGAAAAATCAAGTTCCTAGAGTAACGTCCAACATAACTCGCTCCACTAAAAGCGCAGTTGAATTGATAAATACAATTTGAAGTGGCTAGTCTAGATACTTCATCTTTCAGTCGAGGTAGCACCACCTGTCATGTAGAGAATAATACATTTTGATCAAAACTTGAGAAAACAAATTAGCGCTCAGTGTCTTTATTCATTATTTATTTTCGTTTATATTGTTGTGAGGCATTTGTTATAACAATGAAAACCAAGTCTATGTGGGATTGAGGCAGGGAGTCGATCCCTGCATCCTACTTTACAGCTGTACGAATCCCACTGAGGGTATGCACAGCCATAAAAGGCACCTCAACTGCAGTCTTAGGCAGCTACACAGACAGGGTAGCATTCTGTGCACCAAAAATTCCCGTATAAAATAATTCAGTGGAGAAAAAATTTTCTTTATCGATGAAATCGTCTTCAAAGGCTATACAGTCGTATTTATATTTACCAAACGTGTACAGTAGTCCATTATTGAGTAGTAATGGGTGTGTGGGATAATTGACATAGTCACTCAGAAGTGGCTTCAAAAGTAAAAATAAAAGTTACAAATTACGTAATACTCACCGGCAAAAAAGGAAGAAAGCGCTGGAGACTTGACATTGAAACTGATATTGAGTCAGAAGAAAGGTGGTAGTTGAGTGTCAATTTAACAAGGGTAAAGCGAGTGTGAAAATGTACAAAAGGAACATATGAGAGTGATAATAGTGAATTAAATAATAAATTGAAAGCAAACTAATCATTAAAACTAAGCAATAAAAAATTTACAGGGAACAACAAATGAAGAGGTTAAGACCATTGTAGAATAAGAGTCTGGACAAACTTTTTCTGCATACAAAGTTCTTGGTTGCATTGACGAATTACCAGCGCCTCGACCATATACAAATAACCAAAACCTAACACCCTTTGTAACATTTGGTCTCACGTTGTAGAAAATCTTGAAAGACGACTTTCATGGAGCTGCGTTGCTTCAGTTCACCAATTGCTAACCAACCGTGCCAGATAATCTTCAAAGATGCGTTTGGAAAGTGTATGGTTTGTGTGGCCGCCATAATGTGAGATCAAAATCTCTCTCTCCACAAGAATCACACACCAGCAACTCCCCAACCTAGTCTAACGTTAGAATCACTCTCATTTTGATGTGGTTGTGTTCTCTGAGCTGGATAGTTAATTTGCGAAGCTTTCATCGCTAGCCCTACTAAGCGACATCTTCAGCACATACTTCAATTTGAAGTGAGCTTTTAGATTTCTGCACGAGTTTATTATTCATCTCTCCCGGTGACCTTGGACGTCATTAGTTGTTTTTGTGTGTTTTCACACCCTCTAGGCTACTTGAATTGAAATTGATTGCTTCTTTGACTTGAACTTTGACCCTTTGTGTGTGAGGTTTCTTTCTTATCGCTTGATAAATTTTGTCAATCTCGATGTGTCTATTGATTGATGATTCAATGGAATTCTAGGCAGGCTTCTAAAAATTCTCTAGCATTCTTGTTGTTTTCTCTGTCTAATATTTGAACATTGTTCCAATCGAATTGATGCCCGTGGCTCTCTGTATGTAGTGGTGTGAGGGAGTGGATGTCATGTCTTTTGACGGCTAGCTTATATTCGTGGATACGAAGATAAAGGGGACTTCCACGGTGTCCAAATTGATGTCCTTGGTTGGACGTCCACGTCTGGTGACCCAGCGAATCATCAATCAATAGACACATCGAGATTGACAAAATTTATCAACCGATAAGAAAGAAACCCCACACACAAGGCGTCAAAGTTCAAATCAAAGAAACAATCAATTCCAATTCAAGTAGCCTAGAGGGTGTGAAAACACACAAAAACAACTAATTAATTCAAAGGTAGTCACCGGGAGAGATGATTAATAAACTTGTGGAGAAATCTTAAAGCTCGCTTCAACGAATTGAAGTATGCGCTGAAGATGTCACCTACTAGGGTGATGAAAGCTTTGCAAATTAACTATCCAGCTCAGAGAACACAACCACATCGAAATCATCGATCTGAGCCACAAATCTTCTCCATCATATCACTTTGATTTACATCGTAAGATAACGTATTATCAATCTTTCACACAGTCACCAAGATGAGAAGCATTATAAATAGAGATTAAACACTGACAGCGACAAATAATAAGGATCTAGTGAACATATAATATGCAAAAAGCCAGAACTATGATATATAGTCTTGGCGGAAAATTTCGTTGAAACATCCAAATAAGTATAAATACATAGTGTTTAGATCGTTTACGAGGGACATTTTAAAAAATTATCCCGTAACAAAGCCCAACGCTAGTATTAGGCCATGAGTGTAACGCGTGTGAACTATATATTTATATATATATATTCTGACACCCGATTTACAACCAATATTCCCGATCATTTTCTCGTGATTTAACAAAATAGGCGCCAAAATGTTGCGTTTTTCATATCGAACCTTCCTGTTTGTTTTTATTTCATTGTCTTTTTTGGGTGTCTATGTGTGTTAGCGTGTGCGTGTGCGTTTGCGGGTTCATGTGCGTGTATTTTGACATTAAATTTGTAATTACAATAGCCAGAAAAAGGATTCCGTTTTTCTGTGTTCATCTAAATATTCATCATTCATGCTAAAGCTGAATACATCTGTTATGCCAACCATGCTTGGGTTCTAAAAAGAGGGTTTATGTGTGTAACAATCTGAGAAATCTTGCTATTGTCCAAAGAACAAACTTTTTTTAATATATTCGAAAAAAATCCTTTTTCATTCATCTCAGTGATGTACAATTAAAATTAAAACATTTGGTGCACTGAAGGAAAGATAATGTGATAACGATAACCAGTCATAATTAAATTCCTGCAATGTGTCGAAGGAAAACTGATAAGTTGCTTGAAGATTGTAGAATGCGTTTGATAAGTGGTTAGTAAGAGTAAACGATATGACTGTAACCTCTTAACCTGTATGAAATACATCTGATTTTTTGATTGGACACTAGTCAGTAACTCGTGTAATGTGTCTAGTCCAATCTTTGGTGCGCAATGAATTCTATCAGTTACGTTTGCGATGTCGCCACCATTCCAGGTGGCTCCGTGCACTTTAAAAATTGTTGATATTAGATGGTTAGAGGCAATGGGCAGGAAGCCTTGCATGACCCAGGTTTCGTGCTAGTTGCCAATCACCAATCATCAGGTAAGGAACTCATGTCCCTTCTGAGATTCGAACCTGCGTAACCTACTGCCATCTGCAGTCAGAGACGTTACCACTGAGATATTCAGGATAGCGATTCACCTCACGTAGGATTGTTTTCAGACACTTTGGTTGGACACTAGTGAGTGACTAGTGTAGTGTGTATATAGTTCTTGTTAAGTTCAAGACATCCTGCCCGTTACCTCAAACCATTTAATAACAACAATAACAAGTGCACGGAGCCACCTGAAACAGTGGTCACATTGTTAACTTGACTGATAGAATTCAGTCTGTACTAAAGAGAGGACTAGACACACTACACTAGTCACTCACTAGTGTCTAATCAAACTGTCAAATTCAGTCCTACATGAAGTCAATCGCTAGCCTGAATAGCTCAGTGGTAACGTCCCTAACTGCAGATGGTAGTGGGTGACACGAGTTCAAGCCCCAGAAGGGAAATGAGTTCCTTCAAGGTTGCAGATACGCCTTCCTGAATGGTGAGTGGCAAATAGCACAAAACTTAGGTTTAAGGCTTTCTGCTGATTGTCTCCAACCATCTAATATGAATACCTGATTTTAAATCCTCAACTCTATTGTAATTTGTCAATAGAGTTGTGAAGCTGGCTAGACGGGAGTATAATATAACGAACCACAGACTGCTTCGTTAAGCTTTTTTAGCTGATATAATATTAAATTAGGAAGGTGCTGCCGGTGGTAACATGGAAACTTGACATTTGTGTGTGAAGTCTTTAATAGACGATTTGAGCCATGTAGGACAACTGCGTGTCACTAGGATGTCCCAGCACATCTACGTAAAAAGGCATCACCGCTATAGAAATTTCAAAGCTCCAACTTGAATTCTTATGTTCGGCATCTATATCAACCTCATTCAACAGTTTTCTAACGGTGACATGTGTCAGATTTTCCACAGAGGAAGACGTATCGAAGCCTTTGAAGTGAACGAAAGACTTATAGAAAGCTGATTACTATCACCGACGATAATTCTAATTGTGATGGACTGCAGTATGCGACAGACTGTGAGAGGAGGGGAGCGGGAAGAC